CTTAAGTTTTTTTTATTAATTAAGAGCTTTTTCAATCAAATGAACTACATAAAAAGATTTTCTTTCAATAATCCATTTTGACTTCTGCAGGTATTCATCATGCTTTGAATCTTTCATACTTCTAACCTGATTACGTATATTACAACTATTAGTAATAAATGATAAACAAATAAATTTCATAGTATTCTATGTCTGTTACTATACAACATCTACATTAAATCAAATTCATGAATAAAATAACAGTTTTGATAATAAAAATTAAATAAACTATACGAAAATTATTATAATTATCCTAAAGATAACTCGCTAGCCAATTTATTAAACGTTGTGAATGCATCTTCGCGTGTACAATCCGGCACACCATCATTTAGTCCGGAGTATACCATAGACACGGTAGAATGTAATTGTTTTGAATGAAATGCTGATAACTTTCCATATCCGCCTGGGGATATTACCTATTTAATCATAAAAATAAAAAATAAATGATTAGAGATTTAATGATAAAACAAAAAAAAAAAAAAAAAAGATATATATATTTTTAATGCATACTCTGTAATCAGTTTTACTCAATATCCAATTCTCAATTATTGCATTATTAATCTCATCCGCTTTATCCCAATCATAATTCTCTCCTTTATATCCTTCACCACTGACAGGCAATCCTGAAACAATAACATGTTCAAGTTTCTGAATAGCTTCATCCCTTAACCTTACGGAATCTGTTACCAAAAAATAAATAACTTTCTGTGATGGTTCAGAATACACTTGAGTTAATTGATCTGCGCATCTAAAAAAATGTTTATATTCCTGTAGTGAATGTGAATGACCCAGACCATCTTTTTTATTCATTTTAGAATCACCCGTTCGAATTTGGATTCCAACAGAAAAAATGCTAGGTAACGCAAACAAAGATGTATATTCAGTGATGAACCACAAAGCTTCAGGGACAGGACGAAACAAGTAATCAAGAATACACCCAATGGCTGTGTGTGGTCTTAATCCAATATCCTTTAAATGTTTCGAATAATGTTTTGAACTAAAAGTTCTCATTATCATCCCTCTATTGGTATAAAACTTTATAAATGGTTCCGGATACTTTTGAGTCCAATTATGTAAAATAAAATATTGGTCCAAATGTTGAGCATCAAAGTCGATAACGTTAAGATCACTAGATTGCAAAGAAAGAAGTGAAGGTAAGGGTGAAAGGGAGTCATAACTCCAGTCGATGTTTGATGATGAGAATACTGCTTCTAAAGGGATAGGAACCTGCCAGTCTGCGAGGAAAGCACGGTTTGTAAGAAGAGCAAATAAAAATGTTGATGTCATGCCAAATATCCTAATTAAAGAAAAACATAATTTTATTTAAAAAATGGTAGACGACAACAATGTTTAGAATATAGATTTATAACTTACCGGTCTGCCAATCCACCACAATTTGTACTAGCATCACAAATATAAGTAACATATCTCTGTTCCTCCTTATTATCCAAAATATTCGCATGCAACTTTGAATATTCTTCTTGCCACTTTCCACATGATGAATCCAAACTTTCATCCGCATTAATTTCCACTGATTGAATACTTTTAATATCAGCTAGTTCATCATTTGTCAATGAATTAATTACATCTACATAAGTGAAATGAGGCTGCGGTGCTTTATAAGTGTATTCAGAGTAATCTATTACATTTGTCTTTTCATCAGAGTTTTGTGACTTTATGTGATAATGCCTATGCATCTTTTTCGTTAATTTGTTTGGTCGACCAGATATTTGTGTAGATTTATTCAAGATAGAATAAACTGTAGGATTTAACAGTTGCATTAATTCTTCTTCACTAAAATAATTAATATCATGACTTGAAATGTCACTAGCTTTATCATTTTTGGAAAGAATTTCATCGGAATGGCCAAATCCTTCATCTTGAATAATTGGGTCATCTAAAAGCTCAGCATCAGGAAACAAATCTGCAATTTCACCTTTCTTAATCACAGTATTATCTAAATTATTTTTGTAATCATTTGTGCGATCATTATCGTTATCGTTTTGGTAATTACCGTCATTCGTAATCTCTATTTTCTGCTTATTATCATTCATTATGCCATCAAAAATAGGTTCCTTGTCTGATGGAATTATTTTACTAGCTGGTGGGTCTGTAATTATTTCATCAAAAGGCATATCTATACCACACAAACTTCCCAAAAATATCACTAAAGATCCAAAAAATGCAATCGCATAGAAAAGTTGTCTCATGGTAGTTATCATTCCATAATTAAAATATGATGGATTAATAGTTCTCCGATCTTTTTTCTGCAAACCTGATCCATGAAATTTTGATTTTGTTATTGGTGCATTCTTTTTTTCGTCGATTGTTGACATATATCTATCATTAAGTGATTGGTAGGATTTTTGATCCATAAGGGAGTGGGATTGATATTGGCGTTGTTGAGAGATAATGATAGGATCTACAGTCCTTTGTATGGTAGGAATGGAAAGGTTTTCGGAAACGCCGTCTATATTATTTATACTCTTTCTACGATGTGACATTATACATTCATCGGTTTAAAATGTACTTTTTTTTTTTATGTTTTTAATGGTGTTGATAAGAAACCAATCAAATAGGAAGCAGTTAAGTCTAACGAAAGAATGTAATATTATTATATAACTAAAAATAAATTTCAATCAAGTATCGATACCAAGAAGAAGAGTTATAGAAAACGCATCTATACGCATGTACTAACATAAATTAAATACATATTTTTGGAAATTCAAATGTGAAACAATAACAAATGCACTTATAAGTATATATGCAACATTTGTTACCTCACTATATATGTAGGACCTAACTTATAGGGGTAATAAAATAATGATAAAAAGGAAATTTGCTTTTCAATTGATTAATGGATTTTCACTTTAATGGGTTCCGCGCCCCGAAACATCTAATTTAACGTGATTTTTCTACGCATGCCCTATTTTACTGTAATACTTATATATACAATCAATTAATTTTAAGTCTGAACAAATACATTCCAAAAATTTTAAAATTTCAAGTTATATAGTATTGGCTAATTTTTATGCTACGTATTTGAATTGTTTTAAGATACATATATGTATAAAAATTATTTATTTTATATACGCACTTTTACTTATTTTAATCGTATTGACTGTTACTTTTATCTATCAGCTACTGTATATAAGTGAATTCTAATTGTTCAAACCTATGTTTTAGAATAATTATACAAGAATCTGATTCAAAAACCCGTGTGATAGAAATCGAATTACGCAAATTAATATTGATCAATATTAGTATAGTATAGGGTGCGCATTGCCTATTGTAAAACTAATTCCTAATTTTAATGGAAAATCTTACCATAATAATCTGTTTTAATCATAACGCTAACGCTAATAATATAAAGCGGATCAATATCAGTCGATTAACACTTCATACACTCAAAATTATGTTAACGCTAAAAATGTTTTCCGACAATGCACTCAGAAAACATGGTTGCTGATCATTCGATATTCCGATTCCGACCATCTACTATATGAGTGCGGGAGAGGGAAAAGGGTGCACTCGTTTTTTTTAGTAAGTTATTGATTATTTATCCGATTCAGCCC